TGGCCCCAAAATAAGCAGAAGGAATGTATTATCCAGGGAATTTTTGCAACCAATGCTAGCTCTATCGTGCCCTGTGATTCTCTTTGGTTAAGGATGGATCACACACTATGCACCTAGCATGCTATTTCCTTTTTTCTTAGTGACCGTTGTGAGTATGGAATCATCATTGCTTCCATTCATCTTTGCAGCCCTCTTCATGCCAGCTTTCTAACCCCTCCTCCATGATGCTGGTAGCATCAGAGACAGTGTCACAAGTGGATAAATTGCAGGGAGGTAAATTATCTGGTGTAACTTCACCTTTAGACATCAAACTAGGCAACAACGACGCGTATTCCATCTGTCTAACATCACCTTGACCACTTTTACTATACAGTACTGCTGACCTGATACAGTATTATAAGGTTGGTTTTGTTTTGATCACACAGGGACACTTTGCAAAGGGACATATAACACAGGCAAACCTGAGGAGTGGTACAGTCTGAGGAAGTTAGGGAGGGCTTTTTAAAGGGCATTAGAGCTTTGTACATTAAAAATGATTAATTTACAAAAAAAAAGTTGCAAGCACACTTTAAAGAATGACTATCTATGTTCACCCAGAGATTCCATCCAAGTTTCACCAAATGTTCCAACAGCATCCTTTGGGATCACATATTACACTTACTTGTCAGATTTCTTTAGTTTCCTTCAATTCAAAAAATATAGTCATTCCCTGACCTTTGTGGGCTTTGTATATTTGAAGGTTACAGGCTGGTTATTCTGCAGAATATCCTAATTTTGGTTTGTCTGATGTTTCCTTGTGATTAGATTCAGGTTATGCATTTTGTTGGGACCGTCACAGAAGTGATGTTCTCTCTTTGCTGCACCACATGACCCCGATTTTATTTCCTGTTCCTGGTGACATTAATGTTGGACATTAGGGTAAGCTAGTATTTGCTGAGCTTCTTCACTATAAATTCTTTGTTCCATCTGTAATGTATAATGTTTCATTGAGACACAGTTTGAAACAAGGTAATTATCATATTTCTTCTCCAAATCTTACCCACTGAGTGTTAGCACTGATATTTCTTAACTGAATTTCTTTTACCATGATGATCACCAGATGGTGATATCCTAATTTCATCATCGCACCAACATTTATTAGTGGGCATTCAACTTTAGAGAAGGAATTTCTCTTACCCCATTTGTATGACATCCATGTGGATTGATGGCTTCCTATTTTATGTAATGTTATATAATCTGGTAACACCATTTATTTTGATACCCAAATTGTCTTAGGTTTGGCCAGGGAGAACACCTCAAGCTGATTCTGTGTCCTTTTGCACATCTACATTCTTTGAGCACTTACTAACTGGTGAAGCAAGATGTATTGTCCTTCTTTTGTAGCTTTGTTGTCTCTACTCTGCAACCAGTTATTTCTGCAAGGTGCCCTAGTTTCTTTAAGAGAATGATATTTAGAAAGAAAGATCTGGGTACTGGATGTGCTCAGTGCTACTAGGCCCTATCAGTGGACAGAGGTAGAAAATACATGTATGTAAGTGTGTACAAACATACAGCCAGATTACACACACACATACACAAATCCCTTTATATTTCTGCATCTAAAAATAGTGAAAACCATGTACTCACACCAGTACTACTAATTATAATCCAACACTATAGGGTTCATTCTATCTTAACTCTTTTCATATTTCAACTCACTTCTCTGACTTAGCTCTCATTATCCTTAACATATTTATTTGCTCAGTCTCCATGTGTATGACCAATCTCTCAGCCTCATCAGGCTATTTCTCTTCTCATCCACATTCCTTCCTGAGTTCTGACTCTGGTTGGGCAGTTTTCCTCATTCAAACCTGCCTAATGACTTTAATCTGAGAAGAAAGGAAGGAAGGAAAGAAGGGAGGGAGGGAGGGAGGGAAGAGGAAAGGAGGGAGGTGGGGGCTTTACATATAAAAAATAAGTGTAGTCTATCAATTCAAGTACCATGATTATCGATTCTTGGATGTACAAAATGTGTTTTTTGAATGTTAAATATATCAGTCTTTAGGATATAATTTAAATGAATTCTGAACACCTAGAAACAGTTTTAATATAGCCTCTTTAATAATTTCAAAATGCAGGCCGGGCGCGGTGGCTCACGCCTGTAATCCCAGCACTTTGGGAGGCCGAGGCGGGTGGATCACGAGGTCAAGAGATCGAGACCATCCTGGTCAACACGGTGAAACCCCGTCTCTACTAAAAATACAAAAAATCAGCTGGGCATGGTGGCACGTGCCTGTAATCCCAGCTACTCAGGAGGCTGAGGCAGGAGAATTGCCTGAACCCAGGAGGCGGAGGTTGCGGTGAGCCGAGATCGCACCATTGCACTCCAGCCTGGGTAACAAGAGCGAAACTCCGTCTCAAAAAAAAAATAATAATAATAATAATAATAATAATTTCAAAATGCTCAGGTATATAGTTTTTAAGGCAGTTTGAATTTAACACAACTATTTTGAAATGAGAGGTATTTACATAATTTAGTAATGACGGCAATTTTCTGGTAACTGAGTGCCATATTTTTATGATTGAGAATTGTTTGCATTTATTTTGGGGGGTGGAGTGGGGTTAGTAGACAGGCACAGCAAGAGACAGAATCTGTCTTGCCTGGAATTCTGTCTCCTAAATGACTTGGAAAACCTGATGACATTTCCAATTAGCTTAATATGATGTAAGTGAGCCAAAAATTAAAATGATTGTTTCACTAAAGACAATTAGGAAACCCAAATTCAAAACTTATTACACAATGAAATTAAACTACCAGAGGTCTTCTGTGATGCACGATGGCCGAATAGGAAGAGCTCCAGTCTCTAGCTCCCAGAGAAACTGATGCAGAAGACGGGTAATTTCTGCATTTGCAACTTAGGTACCCAGCTCATCTCATTGGGATTGGTTACCAGTGGGTGCAGACACAGAGAGTGAGTCAAAGCAGGGTGGGCATTGCCTCACCCAGGAAGTACAAGGGGACACAGAACTCCCTCCACTAGACAAGTCAAGCCACAAGAGATTGTGCCCTGAGAAACAGTGCTATCTGGCCCAAGGTCTTCGCAACCTGCAGACCAGTAGATTCCCCTGGGTGTCTACGCCACCAAGGCCCTGGGTTTCAAGCACAAATCTGGGCAGCTGTTTGGTAGACACTGAGCTAGCTGCAGGAGTTTCTTTGGTACCCCAGTGGCACCCGGAACACCAGCAAGATAGAACTGTGCACTCCCCTGAAGGGGGGCTGAAGCCAGGGAGCCAAGTGGTCTTGCTCAGCATATTCCACTTCCATGGAGCACAGCAAGCTGAGAGCCCCTGGCTTGAAATTCTCACCACCAGCATAGCAGTCTGAAGTCGGCCTGGGACACTTAAGGTTGGTGGGGGACAGGGTGTCTGCCATTACTGAGGCTTGAGTAGGTTGTTTTCCCCTCACCGTGTAAACAAACGCATCAGGAAGTTTGAACTGGGTGGGCCACCACAGCACAGAAAAGCCACTGTAGCCAGGCTGCCTCTCTAGATTCCTCCTCTCTGGGGAGGGCATCTCTGAAAGAAAGACACCAGCCCCAGTCAGAAGTTCATACATAAAACTGCCATCTCCCTGGGATGTAGCACCTGGGTAAGGGTGGCTATGGGTGCAGCTTCAGCAGACTTTCACATTCCCATCTGATGATACCCAGGCAAACAGAATCTGGAATGGACGTCCATCAAACTGCAGCAGAACTGCAGAAGAGGGGCCTGTTAGAAGGAAAACTAACAAACAGAAAGCAATAACATCAACATCAACAAAAAGGATGCCCGCACAAAAACCCCATCTGAAGGTAACCACCATCAAAGATCAAAGGTAGATAAATTCACAAAGATGAGGAAAACCAGCACAAAAAGGCTGAAAATTCCAAAAAGCAGAATGCCTCTTCTCCAAGGGATCACAACTCCTTGCCAGCAAAAGAACAAAACTGAATGGAGAAAGAGTTTGACAAATTGATGGAAGTAGGCTTCAGAAGGTGGGTAACAACAAATTCCTCCAAGCTAAAGTAGCATGTTAGAACCCAATGTAAGGAAGCTAAGAGCTTCAAAAAAAGGTTACAGGAACTGCTAACTACAATAACCAGTTTAGAAAAGAACATAAATGACCTGATGGAGTTGAAAAACACAGCACAAGAACTTTGTGTAGCATACACAAAGTATCAACAGCTGAATCAATCAAGCAGAAGAAAGGATATCAGAGATTGAAGATCTATGTAATGAAATAAACCATGAAGTCAAGATTAGAGAAAAAAGAATGAAAAGGAACAAACAAAACCTCCAAAAAATATGAGACTATGAAAAGACCAAACCTACATTTGATTGGTATACCTGAAAGTGATGGGGAGAATGGAACCAAATGGGAAAACACACTTCAGGATTTTATCCAGGAGAACTTCCCAAACTAGCAAGACAGGCTAACATTCAAATTCAGAATATAGTGAGAATATCACTAAGATACTCCTCGAGAGGAACAACCCCAAGATATATAATTGCCAGATTCACCAGGGTTAGAATGAAGGAAAAAGTGTTAAGGTCAGTGAGAGAGAAAGGTGAGGTCAAACACAAAGGGAAGCCCATCAGATTAACAGTGGGTCCCTCTGCAGAAACCCTACAAGCCAGAAGAGACTGGAGGCCAATATTCAACATCCTTAAAGAAAAAAATTTTCAACCCAGAATTTCATATCCAGCCAAACTAAGCTTCATAAGCGAAGGAAAAATAAAATCCTTTACAGACAAGCAAATGGTGAGGGAGTTTGTCACCACCAGGCCTGCCTTACAAGAGCTTCTGAAGGAAGCAGTAAGTATGGAAAGGAAAAACCGATACCCAGCCACTGGTAAACATACCAAAATGTAGACACCATCGGCACTATGAAGAACTACCTCAATTAATATGCAAGATAATCAGCTAGCATCATAAAGACAGGATCAAATTCACACATAACAATAGTAACTTTAAATGTAAATGGGTTAAATTCCCCAATTAAAAGGCACAGACTGGCAAATTGGGTAGAGTCAGCACTTTGGGAGGTCCGGGTGGGTGGATCATGAGGTCAGGAGTTTGAGAGCAGCTGGCCAAGAGATGGTGAAACCCCATCTCTACTAAAGATACAAAAAAATTAGCTGGATGTGGTGGCACATGCCTGTATTCCCAGCTACTCGGGAGGCTGAGGCAGGAGAATCACTTGAACCTGGGAAGCGGAAGTTGCGGTGAGCTGAGATTGCACCACTGCACTCCAGCCTGGGCAATAAGAGCAAAACTCCATCTCAAAAAAAAAAAAGAAAAAAAGTCAAGACCCAGCCCTGTGCTCTATTCAGGAGACCCGTTTCACATGCAAAGAAACACATAGGCTCAAAATACAGGGATGGAGGAAGATTAACCAAGCAAATGGCAAGCAAAATACTGCAGGGGTTGCAATCCTAGTCTCTGATAAAATAGACTTTAAACCAACAAAGATCAAAATAGACAAAGAAGGGCATTACATAATGGTAAAGGAATCAAAGCAACAAGAAGAGCTAACTATCCTAAATATATATGCACCCAATACAGGAGCACCCAGATTCATAAAAGAAGTTCTTAAGAGACCTACAAAGAGACTTAGACTCCCATACAATAATAGTGGGAGACTTTAACACCTCACTGATACGATTAGACAGATCAACAAGACAGAAAACTAACAAGGATAATCAGGTCTTGAACTCAGCTTTGGACCAAGTGAACCTAACAGACATCTACAAAACTCTCCAACCTAAATCAACAGGATATACATTCTTCTCAGTACCATGTAGCACGAATTCTAAAATTGACCACATAATCCACATAATTGTAAGTAAAACACTCCTCAACAACAGCAAAAGAATGGAAATCATAACAAACAATCTCTCTGACCACAGTGCGATCAAATTAGAACTGAGGATTAAAACACTTACTCATAACTGCACAACTACATGGCCACTGAACAACCTGCCCTTGAATGACTACTGGGGGAATAACAAAATCAAGGCAGAAATAAATATGTTCTTTGAAACAAATGAGAACAAACACAAAACGTACCAGAATCTCTGGGACACAGCTGAAGCAGTGTGTAGAGAGATATTTATGGCACTAAACGCCCACCAGAGAAAGTAGAAAATATCTAAAATTGACATACTAACATCACAATTAAAAGAACTAGAGAAGCAAGAGCAAATTCAAACGCTAGCAGAAGAAAGGAAATAACTAAGATCAGAGTAAAACTGAATGAGACAGAGACACAAAAAATTCTTCAAAAATCAGTAAATCCAGGAGCCAGGTTTTTGAAAATATTAACAAAATAGACTACTATCCAGAATAATAAAGAAGAAAAGAGAGAAAAATCAAATAGACACAATAAAAAATGATTAAGGCGATATCACCAGTGATCCCACATAAATACAAACTACTATCAGAGAATACTATGAACACCCCTAGACAAGTGAACTAGAAAATCTAGAGAAAATGGATGAATTCCTGGACAAATATGCCCTTCCAAGACTAAACTAGGAAGAAGTCGAATGCCTGAATACACCAAAACAAGTTTTGAAATTGAGGCAGTAATTAACAGCCTACCAATTAAAAAAAGCTCAGGGCCAGACAGATTCACAGGTGAATTCTACCAGAGGTACAAAGAAGAGCTAGTACTATTCCTTCTGAAACTATTTCAAACAACAGAAAAAGAGACACTCCTCCCTAACTCATTTTATGAGGCCACCATCATCCTGATACCAAAACCTGGCAGAGACACAACAAACAAAGAAGATTTAAGGCCAATATCCCTGGTGAAAACTGGTGCAAAAATCTTCAATACAATACTGGCAAGCCAAAACCAACAGCACATCAAAAAGCTATGCTCCAAAATCTGGAGACAATAGATGCCGAAGAGGATGCGGAGAAATAGGAACCCTTTTACACTGTTGGTTCGAGTGTAAATTAGTTCAACCATTGTGGAAGAGAGTGTCAATTCCCCAAGGTTTTGGAACCAGAAAAATCCTTTCACCTAGCAATCCCATTACTGGGTATACACCCAAAGGATTATAAATCATTCACATGTACACATATGTTTATTACAACACTATTCACAATAGCAAAGACTTGGAGCCAACCCAAATGCTCATGAGTGATAGACTGGATGAAGAAAATGTGGTACATATACATCAGGGAATACTATGCAGCCATAAAGAAGAATGATTTCACATCCTTTGCAGGGACATGGATTAAGCTGGAAACCATCATTTTCAGCAAAGTAACCCAGGAACAGAAAACCAAAAACTGCATGTTCTCACTCATAAGTAGGAGTTGAACAATGAGAACACAATGAGACACAGGGAGGGAAACATCACACAATGGGGCCTGTCGGGATGTGGGAGTAAGGGGGGAGGGATAGCATTAGGAGAAATACCTACTGTAGATGATAGGTTGATGGGTACGGGAAACCACCATGGCACATGTATACCTATGTAACAAACCTGTACATTCTGCATATGTATCCCATAACTTAAAATATAGGAAAAAAATAATTATCCTTCCAGTAATGGTTACGGTTTTACAGTGAACCAATCAAATTCTCTTACAGAGCCTATTTTATGATTACTCAAATTTGAGGGAGCAATGACCAGGCTCTTTGTTTCCTTCCTGAATATTCTTGAAGGATTTTGAAATAGAATTGGTGCTTGTAGAGAGGCAGATATTTTGGTCTTGTTAGCTATTGTTAGTAAGTGGTTCAATGGATAGAAAGGGTAAACATGTTTGCCAGCTAAAACTACCAGCATCTAGAATGATTATTCAAAGATTACAAAGTAGGTGCTCAAAGAGGTCTTCAAGGATTGAAACTGATCAAGTCTGAAAGTTGTTACAATGGAAAATGGTAGTACAGGAGAAGGCTAGAAGTTGGGGACAATAGAAGTAGCTAAATTGGGCTGAACCCTAGACTTTTGTTCTGACCAAGGAAATGAATTCAGGAAGTGTCAATTCAGGGTTTCTGCTACTGTCCTCTAGGAACCACTGGTTTGGGGGAATTGCAGGTAGAAGTGGGCAGGGATGGCTTCTTTCATGCAGATGTTTAAATGTCCATATAAAAGTTTCTTCTCTTATGCAGGAAGTTGTTAGTGTTAATTACACCTTTTATCTGCATGGTGTTATCTCAATTCATTGCAGACATGTTTTTGTAAAATACAGTAAAAATGCAATACTGGAAAATTGAAATTAAAAAGACAAGCTCTGAGTTTTTATTATTAGATATAACAAACAAAATCATTTTTTCAAATCCCTCTCAAGGTTCTAAGTCCTTCCTCTCAACGTCTGACTCATTGCAGACAGGTAACAGCTTGCAGATTGGCATCAGGGTGCAAACCACACTTGAGTGGTTTGCTTCGTACTAGCAGTACCTGTCAAACTTTATGAAATGCTCATCCGGGATTCTGGTATACATGTAATTCGTATGTAGTAGGCTTGGGCAGGCGTGAGATTATTTCTGACAAGCTGATGCTGTTGGTATGCAGCCCACACGTCATAAACTCTTTGAGTTTTTACAGTGACACTGATGTGACGCCAATGCTGCTGGTGTGGGGCTCATACTTCATAACTATTCGTAAGCCATTTTATTTTCACAGTGATCGTTTAACAACTCTTATTCCACTTTACTCATGTTTAAGTCAGGTTTATTGAGATACCCCAAAGTAAATTAAACCACGTTAGGATGCAGTTCTGTTGTTTTTGGCCCATATATGCAGTTGTGTGACCAGTGTCACCATAAGCAAGATGTAAAACAGTTCCATCACCCCACAAGTCTTCTCATGGTTTTTGTCATTAATATCCCTCGCTTGAGTCCCAGCCCCTGACAATTACTGATTTGTTTTCTGTTTCTTTTCCAGAATGTCATTGTTGACAGGTATCAGTAATTTTTATTGCTGATTAGTACTACTGTATAAATGCAACACAGGTTGTTCACCAGTTCACCCATTAAAGAACATTCTGTCTCTGCACTCGACAGTTATGAATATAACTGCTATAAACACTCAAGTAGAAGTTTCTGTGTGAAGGTAATTTTCTCAGCAAAAAATGTTGACAGGTAATTCTTCTAAGTGTTACTTTTTTAAAAAAGTAGAATGGCCTGTAGTCCCAGCTACTCAGGAGGCTGAGGCAGGAGAATCGCTTGAACCTGGGTGGAGGAGGTTGCAGTGAGCTGAGATCCCGCCAGAGTACTCCAGCCTGGGCAACAGAGCAAGACGCCATC